GGCTTCCTCGGGGGCGGGCCCGACGCGGGGTGTGGGCGGGGCTCGCTGGCCGTGCGGGGCCCGCCTTCTTCCCTCAGGGGAAGGTCTGGGCGGCCGTCGCCGGCGGTTAGGGAGGCAGCGGGTCGAGCCTTTTAAATCCTTGTTCGAGCCGGTGGCTTGGGGGAGTGAGGGCCGGCCCGAAGCCCGACTCCTTTTTCCGGTGTGTTCCGCTCGGGCTTTGGCCAGCGGGTGTGAGGTTTTGTGGACCCGCTTACCCGTATTCCTCAAATTGTGGTACGTGGCGTAAAGAAAGAATGATGTACTTAAGTGCATTAGTGGTTTGGAGTAACTGAAAAAGAATCCTCTTGAACTTGGTCTTTAAGACAAGAGTTCAACGTAAAGAATAGCAGATTCTCCTAGTTTTGAATGTGTTAATGTTCTTCCCTTTAATACTGTGAAGAGCGCGTTGGAAAGTGTGAGGCACTATATATATTCCTGGAAAAAATACCGTTACCGTGATGGTTGCAGTCAGGAAGCATAGCTCTAAAGTTTTTTGACTCCTTGGGGACCAGTTTAGGGGAGGAGAGCTTGGCCTAAGGGATCACTCAACAGGGGACGGTCATTGTATCCAACACTGACGGGAAGGGAGGTTCTTTAGGAGCAAATGGTTCGACTTTGTAGACAGATCTCTAGAGTAGCGGTTCTCAACCCGGGGCCTCCCGGGGCACACCTGGCCACGTCCGGAGACAGTTTCGGTTGTCATAACTGGGGTTGCATTGGCACCTAGTTGAGTAGAGGTCAGGGCTGCTAAACATTGTGCAGTGCGCAGAACGGGACAGCCCCCATCCCCCAAGAATCATCAGGCCCCAAGTGTCAACACTGCGGAGGTTGAGAAACCCTGCTCTGGAGTGAGAAACTGTTCCTCAAGTTGTTTTATTAGAGGACTACCCACTAAGGTCATTCACTTTACTTTGTTCTTACTGAATAAAGAACCTTTTAATGGTAACTTGGTGCTTTATGTGGACCTTTTTTGTTGTTGTACCAGAGAGGTTGACCAGTAAGCAAACTCTTAGCTAGTAGTAACCGTGTGCCAGACACTGTTCAAAGTGCTTATAAATAGTAACATTTAAACCAGTTGGTGACACACAGGCACAGGGAGGTTTGGAGACTTAGCCATGGTCACAAAGCTATTTAGAGGATTCAGATTTTTCTGCGGGAGTAGTTTCAGCCCTTTGCAGTAATTTACTCTTAAATAGTAAATTAACTGTGTTTACACATTGATGTCTTTTGAGTAGTTGAGTCCGATACTTTCAGCTTATCAACTCTGGACCAGTAAAGTTAGATTTAAAATGATCCCATCAAGCCCTAGCGAGTTGGTCAGTGGTTAGAGCATCGGCCCTCCTACTGAAGGGTCCCGGGTTTGATTCTGGCACCTAATTCGGTTGCAGGCTGGATTCCGGCCCCAGTCGGGGTTGGTGTAGGAGGCAACCAATTGATGTGCCTCTCTCACACCTCTCTCCCTCTCTCCCCCTCTCTCCCCCCTCCCTCTCTCTCCCCTCCTCCCTCTCTCTCCCTTCTGCTCTCTTGGAAAAGCAATGGAAAAAATATCCTCAGGTGAGGATTAAAAAATAATAATAAAAAAGAAAATCACCCCATCAAAACACTAACACCCAAGTTAAAGGACTTATAAAATATAATAGGGTGATTTTTCAGACAGTTGATTAACTATCACACATTAATACCATTTTTTTCCTGCAGTATTTATTATTTCTCTTCCTTGTTCAAATGCTTCTGTGTAGTTTCTCCAATACCATTTGAACTCAACTAGTGAATAGTTTAATTAAACCTCTGCTGTATGCAGAATATACTAAATTGTGTAGAATCATAAGATGTTTAGAAATACAACCAAAGTTAATTAGAAAAACTGCCTCTTCTTGTCTTTGTTTGAGTATGGAAATTTCCATAGCAGCACTTCTTATTCTCTAAGTATGTTTTTTACTTAGGAATATACTTATATAGGGTATCCCAAAAAAAGTGTACACACATTTTGAATAATTATAAAGGCAGTGTTTATTAAAATACATTTCATTTTCAAAATTGAGCTATCAGCTGTTAAAGTGTGTATACATTATTTTGGGACACCCAGTGTATCTTCTCTTACATCTTTCTTCTCCCATTCACATACCCACTTACTTTTTTTGTTGTAAAATATATATAAAATTTATCATTTTATCCATTTTTTTGTTTTTATTGATTTCAGAGAGAGGAGAGAGAGAGAAACATCAATTATGAGAATCATCGACTGGTTCCCTCTTGCATGCCCCCTACTGGGGATCAAACTGGGAACTCTGGCATGTGCCCTGACCAGAAATCAAACCATGACCTCCTGGTTCATAGGTCGATGCTCAACCACTGAGCCATGCCAGCTGGGCCATTTTAGCCATTTTTAAGTATACAGTTCAGTGACATTAAGTACATTCAGATTGTTGCTTAATCACAACTATTCATTTTCAGAAATTTTTCATCATCCCAACCCATTTACTCTTATTTTTTGTTACACAGAGAATGAATATCTTTTTATTCTTTCTTTTCATTTTTTTTACAGAGAAAATGAACACCTTTTTCATTTACTCTTAATTATGTAAAAGTATATAAAATATATATCCATCCAGTCTTGTTAGTGGTTTTTTAAAACCTACTCACTATATCTCATACAGGTGTAGACTTGTTACTGACTTTAATATTTTCAGGTGCTAGAATAAAACCTCTATTGCTCTCTAAATCTATGCACATGTAATTACCTTTTTAATGAAAGTTATGTTTAATCCTAATCCATTATTTTCAAAGTTATGTTCTGTTAAAAAATGGTATTCTGTAAACATACAAATTTGGCAAATTCCTGGATTAAACAGATTTCTTTACTGTGGAACTCAGAGCTGTTTAATATAATATCCACTTTGTGTAACTAAAATGAGAATATAATTTCTGAGCATATTACTCCACTCTGTACTTTTTAGTAAGTATGCAACATAATATAATTTGAGGAATACTGCTTGAATACTCTCTGAAAGCTGAAAGCAAGGAACTTGGTATGTTTTGATATCTTGAAACTTTTCAGGAATTTATTACATACCTCTGTATCATTTTAGCTAATTAACGAGACTTCATTTGCATTTTATTTGGGCATTTTGAGGGAAGAAGTTTCTGCTACAGGGATGGACAAATGTGTTCCTGGGTAAGTAGTATAATATACTGAAAATTACATGGCTCCTGGAGACCCAGATATGCAGTTTACTAGATGTGACTTTGGACAAGTTACTTGCTCTTAGGGCTTCATTCTCCCAATCTGTAGAATGAGAATTAATTGTTCCTAATTTGTAAGGATGATTGTGTGTGTGTACAGTAAATCCTCATTTAATGTCCTAGATAGGTTGTGACTTTAAGCAAAATGATGTATAGCAAAACCAATTTTACCATAGGCTAATTGTATAAACAAGAGTTAAGTTCCTACTTAACTCTTCATCTCATCAATATCATAACCAACCAACATTGAACAAAAGCACATTATCCAAAAACATGCTATATATATAAAGTGTTTCACCCTGCTCCCTACCCCCACCCCAACATGCTGGGCTGGAAGTTGAAATTCAAAATAGGGTTTTGAGCCCTAGCCGGTTTGGCTCAGTGGTTAGACCTGCGGACTGGTTCCGTTCTGGCCATGGGCACATACCTCAGTTGCAGGCTTGATCCCTCGCCCTGGTTGGGGCTCATACAGGAGGCAACCAATGGATGTGTCTCTCTCATCGACGTTTCTCTCTCTTTCCCTTCCGTTCTCTCTGAAAAGCAATGGAAAAAATATCCTCAGGTGAGGATTAAAAAAAGAAATAGGGTTTTGAGCCCAGCCAGGCATGGCTCAGTGATAGAGCATTCACCTATGATCCAGGAGATCTTGGTTCAATTCCCAGTCAGGGAACATGCCCCGGATGTGGGTTCAGTATGGGGTGTGCAAGAGGCAGCAGATCAGTGACTGTCTCATCATTGATGTTTCTCTCTCTCTCTGTCCCTCTTCCTTCCTCTCTCTGAAATCAATAAAGATATTTAAAAAAAATTAAAATTAAAAATAGGGTTTTGAGAGTGGCTTTTGTACATTCAACTTTCGTTAGTTGTGTGCTATTTTTTCATATAAACCTAAAATCTCGGGAGGGATCTTTAATAGTATCAACAATTTAAAAAAAAGAAAACCTAAAATGTGATAACTTTCAAAATCATGAGATTTATTTTATCATATGATTACAAGTTTTGATTGTAGTCTTGTTCAGGTTGCAGATTGGCTCCACCTGTCTTTTTACATCTGCAGTTCAAGCTAAAGGACAGCATCCATCTGGAACATGTTCATTGACAGCAAACAAAATTCAGAGAACTGATGGGAAACAGTGTCCCTTAAGCTTCTAATGAGACATGGCACATGTCATATCCATTGACCAAAGCAAATTGCACGGTCAAACCTGATTTTAGTAGGGTCGAGAGATAATTAGCTTAAGACACATTATGTTACTGTTTATGAAGGTCAAAAACAGTTGCATATTGGCAGTTGCATACAGTTCCTATTGCGTGAATGAGTGGCAACTCACATGAAAATGGGCAGTGCTACATAGTGGAGGGGAAATGAATAACTAGAAATAAACAGCCAGTGTACTTCATAATAGAAAGAAACCATCATTTATAACCTGGTATCTTTTTTTTTTTTAATATATCTTTATTGATTTCAGAGAGAGGAAAGGAGAGGGAGAGAGAGAGAGAGAAACATCAATGATAGAGTCGTTGATTGGCTGCCTCCTGCATGCCCCCGACTGGGGATCGAGCCTGCCACCTGGGCATGTGCCCTGATCAGGAATCGAACCCCGACCGCCTGGATCCTAGGTCGATGCTCAGCCGCTGAGCCACACCCTGCCAGGCAATATAACCTTATATCTTTTAAAAAATGTATCTTAAATTCTAAAGAACTCACTCTGTGTACTTTATGAGACACGTTTGTTTCTACGCATATGCACTGGAACATACATAAGTATACACAGAGTAAATAATCAGCAATATAATATACTTTTCAATTTTTGAATGAGATCAGTATTAAATTTGACTTGTTTTATTTTTATTGTAGGTATATTAAAGCAAGTCAAAGATTATATTAAACAGTGTAGCAAATGCCAGGAGAAACTAGATCGCTCCCGTCCAATATCAGATACTTCAGAAATGTTGGAAGAATTGGGACTAGACCTTGAATCTGGAGAAGAAAGTAATGAATCAGAGGATGACCTGAGCAACTTTACTTCAACTCCAGCTACAGCCTCCAAACCTGCAAAAAAGAAGCCAATATCTAAACATGAACTTGTCTTTGTAAGTGGAACTTTTCATTCAGCTTTAACATGTGTAACTGGTGTATTAATATTTGTAGGCTTTGTGAATTTTTTCTTAAACTACTAAAACTCCTTGAGTATTGGCATTGACATTGAAGATTTAAGCAGGTCTGTGTCTGAAGTAATACACTATGTAGTTATATACACTAAAAGTATGCTAATATTGCTTCTTCTTTAAAAATAAATATTCCTATTGTTCATTCTCTTCAGAATGTACCTTGTTAATCACTCCTCTCTTCTTTTTTAATGGTATATTGGTACAGATAGAATACATTTCTGGAAGCAGTCTCTGGGTCATGTAGCAAGGTAAAATTAAACCAGCCAGGTCTTTGTTTTTTGCCTGCATTAGTTTCATGTGTCATCATATTTTAGGCTAGAAGAAGAGGCAGCAAGAAGTGAGATGCAGGCTTTCATTGGGTCAAGTAGAACGAACATAGCAGAAAAGAGTGAGAACAGCATATCTTTTCATTTAAATACATAGTTAATAAAAAAAATCCGGCTATTCATATTAATTTGTGGTATCTTTTAAAAGGGGAGGATGTGTGTTGTCTTAAATTCTGTTAAGGGTAGAAATACAGATGATATATAATACAACTCTTGGTCTCAAACTTATTTTAATAGGTTGACACCAAAGGAGTGGTGAAACGTTCTTCTCCAAAACATTGTCAGGCTGTCTTAAAACAGCTGAATGAACAGAGACTCTCCAACCAGTTCTGTGATGTTACTTTGTTAATTGAAGGAGAAGAGTACAAAGCTCATAAATCTGTTTTGTCAGCTAATAGTGAATATTTTCGAGATCTTTTTATTGAGAAAGGAGCTATTTCCAGTCATGAGGCAGTAGTGGATCTTTCTGGTAAGAATTTTCTAATACTCTTGCTCTTTGTTTATAAATACATACTGAAAGAGGGGTGCATGTGTGTGTTTCTACAAATTAAGGGTTTATGCTAAAGTGGGAGAATCCCACTTAAAGCAGCAGACTAAACTGTACTGCAAAGGTCCTTCCTGTTAGCAAGGTTTCCAAGGTAGATTTATAGGAAAGGCTGTCATTTCCTATCACTGTCTCTTATGTGAGACAATTGTAGCAGTAGAAGAATATCTGGGATTTACACTGTTAAAAACAGTTTGAGATAAGTCCATGACTGCATCAGTGTTATTACACTAAGTGATTATGTTATTTAAAAAATGACTGTCTATATATTACGTTGTGGAACATGTAATTATAGAGCACTTTTGTAGGTCTGGTTTTTGTTTTTTAAGATTAATCATTAGAACTCAATAGGTTCAGTAATCAAACTATCAATGTAGGATAATGAGAATTCCAGGTGTGGGTTTTTTTTGTTTGTTTCTTTTGTTTAGTGTTACTGTGAATGAATAATTTGAATTTTGTTTTTGGCCTTACTAGAAGTTATATAAGGGCTTAGGAGTCAATAAATGAAAATTTAGGAAGAATTAAAATAGCTAACCTTATAGTTTTAAAACTCATTTCTTTCGGGAAGACAAATACATATATATTTCCTTAGTAGTATCTATATGTTTAATTACTAAAAAATATTGATTAAGCCATCCACTGTGTGTGAGGAACTAGCCTAGGCTCTGGGGACACAATAGTGAGCAAAAACTTCTATGGAGCGTAGAGTTGCATTACATAGAGTTGATTAGTGGTGTTTGCTTTTCTCTGGGTTTGGTGACTCAGAGGAGAAAATATGTCTTATACTAGGCCAAAGGAATAATAAAACTCATCTCAGGTATAGTCTTTTGATATGTTAGCTTTGGAATTTTTTCCCTGTCTTTCATGCATCTGAAGCAGAAAAAAACATATGGGTGTTTTCTTTCCAGTTTCTCAGTAGCTGATAGCAAGTTAAATGTTTGCCCCCAAATAACTGCAATATAGCCTCCTAATATTAAAAAAAATACCACATCTCCCAGCCGACGTGACTTAGCAGTTGAACATCGACCTGTGATCCAAGAGATCGCTGTTTGATTCCTGCTCAGGACACATGCTTGGGTTGTTGGCTTGATCCCCTGTAGGGGGTGTGCAAGAGGCAGCCGATCAATAACTCTCTATCGTCATTGGTGTTTTTGTCTCTTTCTCTCTCCTCCCTTCCTCTCTCTCTGAAATCAATAAAATATATATATATATATATATATATATAT